TGCCTAACAGAGTGGGCTTTCAAATGCTTGTTGAATAAATAAAGTCACACCATAAGAATCAGTGAGATGGAAGACCAGATTCTGATTCCTGAAGATTATCATCAAGATTACTACTTCTTAATTGTAATTACTAATGATTCAAGTATTACAATTCCTATAATCAGGTTGTTGATGATAACCAAGTTAACTACCTACCATAACAACAGAAACTAATCCATCATGACATCATATTCTTGAAACCAAACAAGATACTTGGTTTCAAGAATGTAATTTCACAGAACACTTCCTCTCTAAAGCAAATTGATACAATTTGAAACTAACTGCTACACTATCAATTAAAACTATGCCTTCCTAGGTCAGATTAGGTAAATCACAATAGAAGTTTCATCCTTAGATAAGTGGGAAAATTCCTCAACTATAAAGACCTGTTCAAAAGAAAGGATAGGTGGAGGGGAGAAACGATAAGCCTGAAATTCCTGAACATAATTGTCTGAAGTTACATTAATAAGTAACCACGAGGAACAATGGTAGTTAAACACTTGACATCTTTCACATTCAAAATACAAATGTATCCTTCCAATACCAGAAGGTGCACAGCTCCTTTTACCATACTTCCAAAATGGCTTATATTCTTTTACACTTTCATTCCTGCAATATGTATTTGCTAGTACCTATTCTGTGTGTGGTGGCGTAGTGGTTAAGAGCTATGGCTGCTAACGAAAAGGTCGAAAGCTTGAATCCACCAGCCGCTCCTTTGACACCCTATGGGGCAGTTCTACTCCGTCCTATAGGGTCGCTATGAGTCAGAATCGACTCAACGGCAACCGGTTTGGTTTTTGGTTTTATTCTGTTCATGGTACTGTGCTAGACCTTGGGTACATGTTGAACAAGACAGCCACAGGTCCTGCCCTCCCAGAGCTCATGTCCAGCAGAGAAGGCAGACACTCATTATTCAACAGACTTTAATAAAATTGCAGTAGGTAACACAGTGGAGAAGCACAAGCGTTAAGAAAGCAAGCATACACTATAGAATCCATCCCCTGCTTTCTTCTGTACTGAAAATCAACTGTTACAGTTTCTTACTACAGAAACCTAATTACCATGCCACATGTACACCCCTTTCAGCAGTTATTCTGTATAACTGCCAGGTTTCCAACTGCAGCTTCAGATGTACCTCTAGGGAAGATACAGAAATTAAACTACTTCGAAAGAAATTTTTCCACTAGCTGCTTTTATAATATCAATTTATCTCTATATCTTGTTGCTGTACAACACAGGGTCACATCAGGGAATAAAAATTCCTTTTGGGCATTTCAAGTCCTTACCCACCTATGGGGTGATCTTTTAACAGCTGTTTTGATTCAATAAGCATCTACAGAGCACTTACTATCTGAGGACCACACAATGGGAATGCAATGACAGGAAGAAAAGGTCTCTAGATGCAATGCACAGTCCAGCAAAACAGACCATACCGAGGTTTCCCTTCGCACACGCTTGGATTTATATTTTTAATATCAATACAACATTAAGTAAAGAAGCCCCTACTGGAAGAATGTTTAGCTGATAAACTTGTGCTCTCTTTTTTTTTTAAGGAAGCCTCATTGAACACTGGACACTTGCTAAAATGACCTTTGTTTTCCAGGATGATAGGAAATCTGTTGCCAGACACAGGAACTGAGTCAGATAACAGAAGAGTAAAAAAAAGACAGGAGGAGAAAATTACGCTAAAATTTCTGATAATTAGGACGCCTATCTAGTTTGAAAATATAAATCTGGTGAAAATTGTTTATAAGAAAAAGTAGATTCTCTATTACAAACACTGCTGCAAATGAAACAATTATTCTATTGGCAGTTACTCAGAAAGTCAGACCCTAGTAAGGAAGAAAAAGTTTGACATGTCAATATTTACAGTGCAGAAGAGATAACAGGAAGGGGGTAGGTAAGACAGGAGACAACTGGGTTAATGCCCTTCTGAAATGAAAGTGGTTAAGCCCTGGCCTGAGTTACCAAGGAGGCTCTGGAATCTCTTTCCACTTAGGTTTTTAACACAAGCCAGTACCGCAGTTCAGAAGGGAATGGCACAGTACTGCTTGAAAGCAGAGGGATGACCTTCTAAGGTCCCTTTCAGTTTTCCCAATTCCAGTTACACAAAATCCATTATATTATTCTCAGTTATTCATTCAGTCCACAAATGTTTACTGGGTGCCTAGTGCGTACACAAGGGCCCTGGTGGCACAATGGTTAGGCACTTGTCTGCTAACTAAAAGGTTGACGGTTCGAACCCACCGAGGGGCTCCGCAAGAGAAAAGACTGGGTGATCTGCTTACAGCCTAGAAAAGATTACAGCCAAAAAACGCTGTGGGGCAGTTCTACTTTGTCACATGGGGTCACTATGAGTTGGAATGGACTCGACAGCACCTACCAACAACAACAGTATGTACACAGCTCTGTGCTCAAGTTACGGTGGTACTGAATGGCAGAGTGGGTAAAGCAACTGGTGGCTAACTGAAAGGTTAGTGGTTTGTAACTACTAGGGGCTCTGTGGGAGAAAAATGAGGCAATCTGCTTCCGTAAAGATTTACAGACTTAGAAACCCTATGTGATCACTACGTGTTGGAAACAACTTAACGACAGTGGTTTTTTTTTTTTTTTTTTTTTTTGGATAAGACAGGCCTAAGCCCTTGGACATTATATTCTGATGGGGAGATATATTAAAGAACTAATTCCATACTTAATTACAATTAGAAGTGCTCAGAAGGTGGCAGAGGGTACTGTGAGAGCACACTTAAGGAAAGGAGGTGCTTATAGAAGGTTTCTCTGAGAAGGTGACATTTAAGCTAAGATGTAAAGATGAACATGAGCGGAGGGGGGCTGCATTCCTGGCTGACATTAACATTACCTGAAGATCTCAAAAAAGCGGGGGAAGACTGGGAGGGGCAGACAGTGAGTGGCATGAGATGAAACCGGTGACACAGGTAAGATAAGGACCAGATCATGCAGAGCCATGTAGGTCATGTTACGGAGTTTTGGACTTCATTCCAAGAGCAACAGCAAGGGGGGCGGGGGATATGATTAGCAAAGGAGTGATGTGACCAAGTGCGTATTTTTTAAAAGATCACTACGAAACATAAAGGACTGGTAGGGCAAAAGTGGATGTGGGTGAGCAAGAAAACAGAATAGTATAATAAAAAAATGGTAGGATCCAAAGTATAAAATAATCCATGATTCTACATTGATATAAATAAATAACTGAATAAGTAAATACACAGGGGAGAAAAGAAAAATCTTCCATGCAGAAGAGTTCCAAAGTATTTATGTAGATACTCTGCCCTCAAGATGGTAGAGCATAACTCCCCACTCCTAAAGTGTGGGCTGTGCATAGTGTGTTCCTTCCAAAGAGTATAGCACAGAAAGGGGAGAAAAAGAGTAACTTTCTGGTGGAGGAATCAATAAAAGGACAAACACTACCTCTACCAGGTGATGAAGGTCAACATAAATCATGCTGATAGCATGTACCTCTGATGTGATGAGAATGGCATTTTACCTCTGCAGTCTTCTTCCCAAAACCTATAATCCTTGTCCAATCATAAGAACATCAGACAAATTCCAGTCGAGGGACATTCTACAAAAACCTGACCAGTATTCCTCAAAACTATCAAGATTATCAAAAACAAGGAAAGTGAAAAAATGTCATAGCCAAGAGGAGCCTAAGGAGACATGACAACTAAATGTAATGCAGTATCCTAGATGGAAACCTGGAACAATAAAAGCACATTAGGTAAAAACCAAGGAGATATGAATAAAATACAGACTTCAGTTAATAATGTATAAACATTGGTTCATTAACTGTGACAAATGTACCATACTAATGTAAAATGTCAATAACATGTAAAACTGGGTGGGGAGTATATGTGAATTCTCTGTACTAACTTCACAATTTTTCTGTAAATATAAAACTACTCTAAAATTTTTTTCTTTTTTTTAAGTGGCTATGGGGAGAGTGGTAATAAAATGACTCTTCTAGTTTAGGTTAAAATTGACAGAACACAGAGAACTCCTGATTCACTGGCTAGGGGTGGGGATGGGGCACGGGAGGGATCGAGAGTGAACGCGACCAGGTAACAAGGATGAAAGGTTAAAAGCCTTGGTTTCAGGCCTGGGCAACTGGATGGATGGTGGAGTCATTCACTGATAAGAGAACAGCAGAGGAACCACATTTGGAGGGAAGTTAGCAACCAGCATTCACTGGGGGTCCATCATGTGTCAGGTGCTTTACATACATTATCTCAAACCCTTAAAATCATTTTTCACAGTAGAGATTATTATCCCGTTTACAAGGATAAAAGAGGGACTGAACGGGGTTAAAATGACTTGCCCATGGCCAATAAACTGGATTTTGCTATCAGGTGTATATGTACTCCAAAGCCCACGCTCTTTCCACTGCACAGTTCCTTTCTGTGCACATTTATTTTATCTGGCAGCCCAAACGCCACCTGCGACTGCTGAGGAAGCCAGCCTCTTTACCAGGAGAAGTGGAGTGCATCAGCAGTATGGCCTCAGTAAGTCACTCCCTCTCCCCGCGCCTCGTCTGCCGAACGATCATCTCCAAGTCTGAAGTTGTATGCAGGAAAGGAGGCAGAAACTTCGTTAAGATTAAGGCAACTAAATACAACTGAAGGCGACTGCATCACCTTTCAAGGGGCTTTAAAAATAATAACAACAAAGTAAACTGAGAACGGACTTCTCTGGTTCGATTATCGGCGAGCGATCTCATAAGGGAAAGGAAATCTCCCGAAAGCGGCAAAGACGGGATGGCGGGCCTCGGGTGCTCTCACGCACCCCGACCATAAACCCTCGGACTCGGCAGGACCCCCAGAAAAACGCCCGCCAGCCCGCCCGGAGCCACGCGGCACAAGGTGACACGAACCGCGTCTGCCCCTCAGTCGCCTGGGAGAGGCCGGGGCAACGAGGGAGAGGAGCGTCCGCGGGGCCCGCGCTACCTTGTACTTATCAAAGCCGGCCAGCTGCTCAGGGCTCACGTATTCGTAACCAGCCATCATGACGACCCGAAAACCGAGCGCCCACTCGGCAGCGACTCTCCCAATAGAGATGGTGAAACACGAGCACCGCACCGACAGAGCGAGGATGGAAAAGACTGGGCAGGCGAGGAAGAACGGCGCCCCGCCCAACACGCACGCGTAGCCTCCTGGGCCACTTCCGCCCCCTCCCAGAGCGCAAGCGCAGCCCCCTGGTCTCGCCACCACACGAGGGAGGGTTTCTAGCCCCGCCCCCTGGGCCGTCGCAGTCCAATCGGGGTAGATCAGGCACCACTAAGTCCCGCCTTTCAGGTCTCTTCCCAGCTTCATTTGCTAACGTCAAAATTGGTGAGCTGAGGTAAGGCTGAGGGGCCCTGGTGGCGCAGTGGTTAAATAGGTGGCTGGTAACCGAAAGGTTAGTAACTTGAACCCACCAGCCGCTCTTTGGGAGAAGGATGTGGCAATCTGCTTCGGTAAAGACAGCCTTGGAAACCCTAGGCAGTTATACTCTGTCCTATAGAGTCGCTGTGAGTCGGAATGGCCAGGAGTTTTGCTTTGGACATAAGGCAAGAGGAGAGGTGAAAGGTCGATTTCCCCGCGGGCCTTGCTCCTCATCCCTTGAGCAGGTGGGCATTTACATGGTATGCACATCTGGGTAGATATTTGGGCATATCCTGTTAGTGCTGGGGGTATGGTGGTTGCATGTGAACCAGTTCAGCAGTGCCTGAAGAGGGCTTAGTTCCCTCACTGGAGTGAAGTAAAAGAGTAAAGTCTGTGCCCCAGTGCCTGGCGCGGTGCGCCGCATGCAGTGGAGCTTAATGAACATGGTTTGCTGCGGGAAAGGCTGAGCCCAGACCAGTGGGAGGCTTGGTAGGAGGCTTTGTACAGTTAATAAAGGGACCTGAAAAGAGTGAAAGGGCGCTGGAGACAAGCCCCTCAGGCCAGTGTTGTCTGTGAACCTTGGACTGCGTCATCACGCTCAGCTCTGTCAACCATTACAAGATTGTTAATGCCTCCTGACTAGATAAAAACAATCTATTAGCCTCTAAAACCCGTTGCTGTGGAGTCGATTCCTACTCGTAGTTACCCTATAGGACAAAGTAGATATGCCCCGTAGGGTTTCCAAGGCCGTCATCTTTATGGAAGCAGACTGCCACATCTTTCTCCTGCTGAGCAGCTGGTGGGTTGAGCCACTTGGATTTTGGTTAGCAGCCGAGATGTTAACCATCTTGCCACCAGGATGCGTTTGCAAAAAGTGCTTTTTTATGTAATGGAAGCCCAGTTAATTGAAGAACACTGGGTCACTGACTAAAACTAAAACCGGACTCATTGCCATCCAGTCAGTTCGGACTAGAACTGCCCCATAAGGTTTCCAAGAAATGGCTGGGGGTTTTGAACTGCCGACCTTTTGGTTAGCAGCGGAGCTCTTAACCACCGCACCACCAGGCCTCTGATGAATGACTAACGTGTATCAATCTAATAATAAAAATTGCTACCTTTTATTGAGTGCCTTCTATGCAGAGAACTTTACATACATTATCACCAACCCCCACTTTGCAGATTAAGAAACCCCACTTTGCGGATTAATCTTCACTTTGCAGATTAAGAAACCAAAATTGAGATTGCATAACTTGCCCGGGGTCACTTAGTTACACAGCTAGGAAATGATCAACCAATATGAAATGAGTCATGAGTATCCAAAGCCACTACCTCAGGGAGCCTGTCATAGTTATCTAGGGCTTGGTTCCGACTCATACAACAGAACGAAACCCTGCCCAGTCCTGCACCATCCTCATCGTTCTTATGCTTGAACTCATTGTTGCAGCCACTGTGTCAGTCCATCTCATTGAGGATCTTCCTCTTTTTCACTGACCCTCTACTAAGCATAATGTCCTTCTCTGGGGACTGATCCTTCCTGTCTAAAGTATGTGAGACGAAGTCTTGCCATCCTCGCTTTTAAGGAACATCCTGGCTGTACTTCTTCCAAGACAGATTTGTTCATTCGTTTGGTATATTCAATATTCTTTGACAACACTATAATTCAATTCTTCTTTGGTCTTCCTTATTCATTGTCCAACTTTTGCATGCATATGAGGCGATTAAAAACACCATGGCTTGGGTCAGGTGCACCTTAGTCTTCAAGGTGACATCTTTGCTTTTGAATACTTTAAAGGGGTCTTTAGCAGCAGATTTGTCCAATGCAATGCGTAGTTTGATCTCTTGAGTGCTGCTTCTATGGGTGTTGATTGTGGATCCAAGTAAAATGAAATCCTTGACAACTTCAATCTTTTCTCTTAGGTGCTTAGCCATTATCAAACAAAACCGTAAGTGATAGCACGGGTATGGCTCAGTTAGCAGCTGCTCAGACCAAGCAGAACCTGCCCTGTCCTGTCCATTGTCCTCAAAGTTATGGGTGTGGCTCAAGCCAGTCAAACCCAGTTCACTAGCCTAGGAGCCAAAGGAAAAAAATGCCGCTTGTCTTACTGCACCTGTGCACAATGATAACCTATGTAGTCCATAATGTTTGTATGTACTTCCTTGTGACAGATGGTATAAAAGGTTCTGTCTCCCTTTGTTTAGGGAGCCTGATTTGAGGAATACACCTCCTTACTCCTAGCCTGCACACTTGCAATAAAGGCTCTTCCTCCCTCCTCACCTGGGTGTGTCTTTATTGACAAGAAGCTGCACAGAGCAGGACCTGCTTTGGGTAACAATACCACCAGTGGATGGCTTTAACAAACAGAAATTTGTTTTCTCACAGTCTACGAGGCTAGAAGTCCGAATTCAGGGTGCCAGCTCCAGGGGAAGGCTTTCTCTCTCTTTCGTCTCTGGGGGAAGGTCCTTTTAATCGATCTTCCCCAGTCGAGGAGCTGCTTAGCACAGGGACCCCGGCTCCGAAAGATGTGCTATTCTCCTGGCTCTTGTTTCTTGGTGGTATGAGGTTCCCCTATCTAGTCTCTCTTTTATATCTCAAAAGAGGTTGGCTTAAGACAAAACCTAACCTTGTAGATTGAGTCTTGCCTCATTAACATAACTGCCTCTAATTCTGCCTCATTAACATCATAGAGGTAGGATTTACAATGCATAGGAAAATCACATCAGATGACAAAATGGACAATCACATAATGCTGGGAATTATGGCCTAGCCAAGTGGACACACATTTTTTGGGGGACACAATTCAGTCCATAACAGAGACTCTCAATCTCTCTGGGTCACTTAATCAAGGGTGATTACTCTGAGATCTCTTCAATAGACCTTACCTTCCTTCATTCATTCAACAAATATTTATTGAGGGCCTAATATATGAAAGCACATTATTTCTGCGTGTGTTTTATCTCTCCTCTTAGATTATAAGATTCTTCTGAGGTAATAGATGTAAAGGAGTGCTGATGGTGCAGTCGTTAAAGCTCTGGTCTGCTAAACAGAAAGGTCCTTGGTTCGAACTCACAGCCGCTCAGTGGGAGAAAGATGTGGCCATCTGTGGCAGTCTGCTTCCGTAAAGATTAAAAGAAACAAACAAACCCCACCGCCGTGGAGCCTGACTCATAGTAGCCCTATAGGGAAGAGTAGGACTGCCCCATAGGGTTTCCAAGAAGCAGCTGGTGGATTTGAACTGCCAACCTTTGGATTAGCAGCCAAGTTCTTAACGACTGCACCAGCAGGGCTCCCTATAAAAATTACAGCCTTGGAAATACTATGGAGAAGTTCTATTCTGTCCTATAGGGTCACTAGAAGTTGGAATTGAGTTGATGGCAGTGGGTTTTTTTTAATAAACATAAAGTACCTATCATCATACACATGGTAGATGATCAATAAACTTGAGTGCCTTTCCTCTCACTTGCCACCAAGGCCAGGATTTATATTTTATACATCTTAATTTCCCCCATGTCCCATAGTCCAATGGCTTGCAAATAATACATGGTCAATACATTTTAGTTGAATGAAGTACAGAAAGGTCTCTTTAATGTGCTATAAAGTGCCAGCTTTGAGAAAGACGTTAAAAATGTGGGTCTCCCCGTAATTTAAGAAGGATATTGGCTCTAATTAAAAGAAAACTATGTAAACACCTCCTTGGACCTAAAAGTATTTCCTTTATGCAGGCTTGTAGTTTAAATTCCTTCTATGCATTGTTGAAACTGAATTGACATGCCTTTGAGCTAAATACAGATTTTTGGACAACCTGTTAATCAGACTGGAGCCCTGGATGCGCAGTGGTAAAGAGCTCGGCTGCTAACCAAGAGATCGTCAGTTCAAATCTACCAGCTGCTCCTTGGAAACCCTATGGGGGCAGTTCTACTCTGTCCTATAGGGTCAATATGAGTCAGAATTGACTCGATGGCAGTAGGTTTGGTTTTTTTGTCTGTTAATCAGACTGAGGCTGTACTACTCAAGTGATGCTCCACTATCTATAGTAAGCAGCAGATTTCCTCTGTTTTGTTTTTCTCCTAATCAATAGAAGGAGAAAAGGACTCTTCCTATCAAATGATTTTTAATACAAGGCCTGTCTTATCCATCTGAAATACAAACCTCATACTTGTAAAACATATTTTAGTTAACCGTGCAAAGCCATAAAATGTGGCTTGAGTACAAAATAGTAGTTCACAAACTGCACTTATTGTTAATTAGTTCAGATGTAAGCAAACTAAAAATAATATTTCTGATTTTTAAAAATTCTTTTCCTACCTCCGATATTTTCTCCAAAAACAATATTTTTTAATCAGACTGGAGCCCTGGATGTGCAGTGCTTAAGAGCTTGGCTGCTAACCAAAAGGTTGGCTGTTCGAATCCACCAGCTGGCTCCTTGGAAGTCCTATGGAGCAGTTCAACTCTGTCCTATAGAGTCACTGTGAGTTCTAATCGACTGGTTGGCAACAGTTTTTTTTTTTTTTTTTTTGGTTGAATTTTATGAAAGCAGTTACAGTTTGCTCTCTCCTCTGCAGAAGGTTGTATCAAACTTGAATCAATTATAAGTCCATCTGATAATTTCTAAACTGAAACACAACACAGAGCTTTGCTTATACTTAGACATCTGTCACTTACTGGCTGTATGAAACACTCTTGTTTCAAGCCAGTAGCCCTGTGTATACAGTGGGGGCTTAGGTCGAAAACCTGAGCCCC